GAGGAGGGCGACCCCTCCCACTAAGCCCCCCCACGACCCTATTTGTGGAGGGGGAGAGGTGGCATTCTTTCTCCTATAAGGATCCCTTGATTTCTTGAGAAGTGGAAATCTGCTTTTTTTTGCCCCCACCATCACTGACAGAGAGAGAAACGGGATGTAAATAGGCAGGTGGTATATACCTGTAGTTGTAGAAAGGGTAGCTGTGTTAATATGTGCAAGCATCATAGGTAAAATCAAAATAAAAAGTAAAAAGACAAAAAACGAGGTGGCACATTAAAGACTAGCTTCTATATTTTTTTAATGTGAGCTTTTGTGGACAAGTCCACTTAAATCAGACATAAGATCGATCTCCCTCTCTTTCTCTGACTAACTAAATATAGTTTTAGAAGTTGCAACCATGTTAATCTTTGCAATCATATCAGACAAAATCCAAAGAAACAAAACACGACGAAAGCCTTTTAATTTTCAGTATGCATCCAGCTGCCAATAATTTATTCGTTTTTAAGGTGCCATATGTTTTTGGCTATTTTTGTTTTTTTCTTTGGATTTTGCCTGATAAATGTAAGTAATGTAAATGTAACTAACATATTTATTTTTGTGTCTGTAAGAGAGGGTTTATCAGACAAAATCCAAAGAAACAAAACACGACGAAAGCCTTTTAATTTTCAGTATGCATCCAGCTGCCAATAATTTATTCGTTTTTAAGGTGCCATATGTTTTTGGCTATTTTTGTTTTTTTCTTTGGATTTTGCCTGATAAATGTAAGTAATGTAAATGTAACTAACATATTTATTTTTGTGTCTGTAAGAGAGGGTTAGTTATTTTTATGACCCATTCCTTTTTCAGTGACCTCAAGGGGGCATCCATTGCTTCTCTTCTCCTTACTTTTTCCCATCACAGCAGTCCTATGAGGTAGGCTAGTCTGAGGGGGGGGGACTCGGAAAGAGACAGGCGAAATATCACCTAATGGATTCTCTTGGCTCCCTGGGACCTAAAACTTAGAAATCCCAGTCCAACCTTGTAACTACTTGATCCTACAAATGCAAGAATACGCGATACCTTTATAGACCACTTAAAAAAATCATTTTGTTTGCCGATGGTGTGATGATTTTTTTAGTGGTCTATAAAGGTATCACCCACTCTTGCATTTGTATTTTGTATTAACCACATGGCTCCCTCTTGCTGGCTGTTGAAACAAGATGTTCTTCTCCAGTAACCCCCTCTCTTCCATTCCCAGTATGGCCACCCTCTTCCCAGTTCACTAGTACAAAGGAGAGTGCTTGGGCCAAACCTTAGAGCAGAGAGTTAAGGGTCCTGTTGGATTTGGTCTCTTTAGTGAGCAGCTGTATCACCCTATGGATATATTTAAAGGAGAATCTTCGTTTAACCTAGCAGCTCAACCCTGTTGTTTCTCTTGAGCTTAAGATCCAGCAGGGCAAATGGGTTTTAGGTTTTGTACTCTGAAGTTTTCATTTTCCGTACACATCCAGCTACCCAGTAGTGCTGTTAAATCAGTTTTGACTTCTGATGGCCCTTCTCAGAGTTTTGCCTAAATGAAAGCGCTCAGACATTATGGGCCTGTCCCTCTTTTTAAGGGTTCTCTAGGATCATCATGCAGCTTCCCCCCCGAGGCCACACAGGCTGGCTTCCTCTCCTCCAAGGCACAGTGGAGAACCCAGCTTGCAATGCCAGGCTTATCACTCAGGTGTGCCAACTCACTGAGCTGTCCTCGGGGGTGAAAAAAACATGCTGTGTTTTCTGGAAGCATCCCTCTGCTGTTTAGACTTAGGTACAAATCACAATGAAGAACTGCTTTCTCCTTTTCCAGGAAAGCATCAGGGTATTGCTCATTTCTCGTTTCAGGATAAGACGGTTCCAATTCCTGAAAAGCTCAATGAATGGGTGCCCCGTCCACCTCCAGAATTTGTCAGAGATGTTATGGGTACGTTGTTATTTTTGAAGGGATGTGTCCATGGGGGAGGAAATTGGCTGCTGTGTGTGGGGTGGGTGGTAAAGGAAGCAGCCTAGAACCTGATTCAAAGGTGATTCGGAAGGGTTTTCCCCCCTCTGTTTTGCACTTTACAGTTACGTAAACAAATCACATCTACATTTCACTGGTTGTTGGGCGATAATTCTTATGACTCACTTGCACTTCTGAATCCTTGCATTTTGAGAGAATGTGTCAAGTTTATGACTGCAAGCGCAGAGAATCAGAGGACTGCATGATTCAAGCTTGGGTTTATATATGCATCATCCCTGACAGTTACTGTGGAGCTGCATAGATAAAGAGGGTCTTAAATGTGCTTTGCTCCTGGATGGGGCTGATCATGTTCCTGCCAAAGACGGTAGCCTTGTTTTGGGCCCTGATGAGGATGGAAAGCTTCTGGTGGATTAGAACGTTGATTGTGTAGAGACGGTAGACATAGATGCATGAGAAATACAGCTGAAAGATACACACAGATGCCCTCACATGCCGCTCCTGAGGCCAGCTGAGCAAGGGCCTTGAGGCCAGGCACCACATTTGTGAGTGGTCCTTCTTTGCATGGCAGAGGGGCTCCTGTGAATTGGGCAAGCCAGAAGAGTTTTAACAGCCTAGTTCCTCTGTGGCAAAACTGGCACCATCCACTTTCTCCCTGGGAAGATAAACTGTTACACAGGGAGTGGCAGAAATTCATGTGACTGGATCAGCATGTTCTTAACTTGATAAGCTGCTCTTAGAACAATAAGTTTGAGAGTTCTGCTTGCAGGGTTTTTTTCCATACTCCCTAGTTCTCACTTGGAACTGACCATATGACATTGACAGAATGGTGCATACATTTGATTTATACAGCAAACTTCCAAGCTGGTCTGAAATGTTACCAAGCCGCTTGAGAAGTTGGCTGGCACCAACTCAGACAGTGGGGCTGTTGAGCCTCATGCAGTCTCTTCTAAGCAGCAGTCTGACATGTGAACCCAAGGGTGGGCAAAGATATTACCGGATGGCAACAACGATCAGCTGTAATGATAATAAAATGTGAGGGATGCTGGGAGTTAAAATTTAGCAGCGGCTGGAGGAACATACTTTGCTTACTCCACTGAAGTGGAGATTTTTCTCAGGCCTTCTAACTAAGCCCCTAATTATCAGGGAGGGGGACTCGAGGTTCGCTATCAGGCAGGACTTAAGTCTTACTGGGTGATGACTTGGGTTTTTTTTTTTCAGTGACTTAGTCTTGACTCCTGACTCAGAACCCATCTACAACTCCCTTTTTTTCTGGGGGGAAACACTTGTTTTTAAGCAGGACTCGAACATAGGGCTCAGGACTTGGGATTTGGTATCGCAGACTCGAAGTTGGACCTCAAACCCAAAGACTTGCCAACATCCCTGCTAATGAGACTGATGATGACAGGAATCCAGCCATCAGCAGTCTGCCTAGAATACATTAAACTCTCTCTCTCTCTCTGGCAGGTTCCAGCGCTGGTGCCGGTAGCGGAGAATTCCACGTCTACCGGCATCTTCGGCGGCGGGAGTACCAACGGCAAGATTTTATGGATGCCATGGCCGAGAAGGTCTGAGGGCTTTTCTGCGAAATGTCGGTCTGATTGTTCCTTTGTCACTGCATGATTTTGTTCTGTTGGTTGCCTGTCCGCCAGGCGCCGTCCCCTCCTTTACCGTGTTTCCCCAAAAATAAGACAGGGTCTTATATTAATTTTTTGCTCCAAAAATGTACTAGGGCTTATTTTCAGGGGATATTTTATTTTCATGTACAACAATATAGATTTATTCAAATACAGTCTTGTCATCTTCTTCTGGTTGCTGCACAAGAGTGGAGGGCAGGGCTTATTTTTGAGGTAGGGCTTGTATGACGAGCATCTTGAAAAATCCTACTAGGGCTTATAGTCAGGTTAGTTCTTATTTTTGTAGAAACAGGGTACTAAACAAGCTTGGTCTGGATTGTGGGATGTCTTCTATCTATGGCAATTACACCCCAGCAGTGCTAGGAGGTCAACTTTGTGTGGGCTGATCTTGTACACAAAGTCAAAACCCAAACTGCCAAAGCAGTTTAGAAACAACAGAATAAAGAGATAGAAACAACATGTTTTGAGAGTCAGATGCTTTAAACAGGTTGCCGAGAAATGCAGTGCAGCGTTACACTGTGTGGGAGACCCGTAGACACTGTGACTCATAGAAGTCCTCAGTCTTAAAAAAAATCTTTGTAACAGTTTGCTCTTCCAGGCATACAGGAACTCTTTATTTTGCCCTTTCTGAGTAAGAGCAACAGTATGAATGAATGACCTCCAGAAGGTCCTGTGGTCAAAACACGGCTGTACAGGTCTTGCCAATTGAAGGTTGGGGATCCCTTTATCAAGGCAGTCCATCTGATGTTTGCTCTTTCTCATTTCCTACTGCCTGCCACTTTTGCTAGCATTATTGTCCTTTCCAGCAAAACTTGTCCTGTATCCAGAAGACAGTAACCTCACCTTAATCAGTTTCACTTCTAGAAGGTCAGGATTGTTTTGCTCTAGAACCCACTGGCTTTTCTTTGATCTATGGTATCTATAAAACTCCAGCACCAAGGTTTTGTGAGGTTTTCTACACCAAACTCAGGTTACAATCCTTAAACACGGGTTCATAGCTGGCTGCTTCGTAATGCAGGGAATGGGGTGGGGAAACTAAAAAGAATGCCATTATTACTTTTCTCTTACTTGTGTACTATCTGGGAGGTTTTCCTCCCACACTCGTCTCAAGCCAATCCCTCGCTCTTCCCTTCTATTTTCCATTGTGTTTTTTCTCAGCTGACACTCTTGCTCCTCCTCTGGGGATTAAACTGAAGCAGTTGGCTAGGAAATGTACAGCTTGGTCGGGACGTAATTGGTCACTGACACAGTTTTCATAATTCTGGCTCTGTACGCCACCACAATGGATTTGAAATGAAACAACCAAGATGCAACTGGAGTGCAGACTTTCTTCTTTAATTCAGTGGGTTTAACCAAATTATCGTATGAGACGTTTAGGAATCACAACCATTTTCATACACCATCCCCTTATTTCAGTGGCTCAGATGTGATCGGACAAATTAACATAAGCATAAATAAAATGCTCATCTTCAATACTTTGTCGAGAATTCTTTGCAGGCAATGGCTGCTTGAAGCCTGGACGTCACCAAACACTGGCTTTCCTCCTTTGTGATGCTCCGTCAGGCCTTTACTGCAGCTGGCTTCAATTGCTGCTTGTCCATGGGTCTTTCTGCCTTAAGTTTTGTCTTCAGCAAGTGAAATGCATGCTCGATCGGGTTGAGATCAAGTCACCGACTCAGCCATTGTGGAACATTCCACTTCTTAGCCTTAAAAAACCCCGGGGTTGCTTTCGCAGTATGTTTTGGATCATTGTCCATCTGTAAAGTGAAGCACTGTCCAGTCAACTTTGCTGATTTTTGGCTGAATCAGAGCAAAGAATACATTGCTATACACTTCAGAATTCATCCGGCTACTTCTGTCACATCATCAATAAACCCGAGTAACCCAGTGCCACTGATAGCCGTGCATGCCCATGCCATCATGTTCCCTCCACCGTGTTTTACAGATGATGTATGCTTCAGATTGTGAGCCATTCCAAGCTTTCTCCATACATTCTTCTTCCCATCATTCTAGTACAGCTTGATCTTTGTTTCACCTGTCCGAAGAAACCCGTTCCAGAACTGGGCTGGTTTTTAAAGATATATATTGGCAAAGTTTAGTCTTGCTCTATGGACTATGCGCAGTTCCCGTCTGTCTCAAGGCTTCCGTCATCGTTCCACTGCCTAAAAAGTTGCCTACAAACAGTCCGAATGACTACAGGCCGGTGGCACTAACTTCAATCTTAATGAAGTGCTTTGAGCAGTTAGTTCGGAAATATATTATCTCCTGCCTTCCTGATCCCTTTGATGGGCTTCAGTTTGCTTATAAAGAAAATAGATCAACCGAGGATGCGATCAATACTGTGCTTTATATGGCTTTATCCCACTTGGAAACACAAGGGAATTATGTAAGAATGCTGTTCGCGGACTTTAGCTCTGCTTTTAACACCATTATACCCCACAGATTAATAGACAAACTTAAAGATCTTGATTTTCCAGATTCTATCTGTCTGTGGATTTTGGATTTTTTAACAAATCGTCCACAAAGGGTTAAACTGAATGACTACATCTCTACTGACAAGATACTCAGCACTGGCACTCCACAAGGCTGTGTCCTTAGACCACTACTGTTCTCCATTTATTCATCAGATTGCACCAATAACCATCCCAGTAACAGGATTATCAAATTTGCAGACGATACTACACTAGTAGGACTTATCTCTGGGGATGATGAGTCTGCGTATCGGGACGAGGTATTACAGCTATCCCGCTGGTGCAAAAAAAACAATCTTTTATTTAACATCCAAAAAACCAAGGAAATCATAGTGGACTATAGGAAAAAAAGAGCAGACATTCAGCCACTGTATATAGATGGAGTTTGTGTGGAACAGGTGGTTGAATGTAAGTTTCTTGGGACTATCATAACAAATGACCTGACTTGGAGTGCAAACACCGCTGCGTTAATCAGGAAGGCACAACAACGGTTGTATTTTCTAAGGATTCTTAGAAAGCAACAATTGACTGAGAGTTTGTTAATCACCTTCTATAGGAGTTCGATTGAGAGCATATTATCCTACTGTCTCTGTGTATGGTTCACGAGCTGCACAGTGGCAGAGAAAAAGGCAATTCAAAGGGTGATTAAGACGGCCCAAAACATCATTGGCTGTTCACTCCCCTCTTTGGAAGAATTGTATAAGAACAGATGTAAGAGGAAGATATCTAACATACTGAAAGACTCCTCTCATCCGGGATATCAGCTCTTTAAACTATTACCATCAGGAAGGAGATTCAGGGTATTGAAAGCAAGGACAAGCAGATTCAAGAACAGTTTTTACCCAAGTGCAGTATTGAGTTTAAATGCGGGGCCATAGGTTTTTGGTGGAATTTTAATTGCTGAGAGAAAACGGGGTATCTATATTTGGATGGTGAAAGTTGTGTATATTTTAACTTTTTTTTGTAGTGTTGTCCAGTTTTACCTTGGGGAAGAGCACCACATTTCATTGCACCCACTTGTGAGCGCAATGACAAATAAATTTCTTATGTCTTATGTCTTACAGTATGTCTTAAAGTGTGGGGGAGGACTTTTGTGCACATACATACACAAGGACTGAGCCTTCATGTAAGGCAGTGGTCCCCAACACGTATACACACACACATACGTACGTACGTACACACACACACACACACACACACACACACACACACACACACACACACACACACACACAACACACAATTTA